TTTGGGTGTTGGAATATTGGTTCATGCTCCTCTCGTCTCCAGAGGTATTTCTGCGTTGTTTGGAGAAAAGTCAACTTTTGGCCAAATTTGGTTAAAAATGTAAGGCTAACCCCTTGTATTTTTTTCAATTTTGGCCAAAAAATGAAATTCTTTGAAACTTACAGGAAAGATGCTTAAGGTAACCCTGAACACATTCCAATTCGATTTGGTAACAGATGTGCCTTTAAAAAAAAAAGACCGAAATTTGGGGTAAAAACAGTCAAAATTTGCCTTTTTATTTACATGTATTTCCTACCACAAAAATGGATGATATTTGCCTAAATCTACCAAAGTTTGGGTGTTTGAATATTGATTGATGCTCCACTCGTCTCCAGAGGTATTTCTGCGTTGTTTGGAGAAAAGTCCATTTTTGGCCAAATTTGGTTAAAAATGTAAGGCTAACCCCTTGTATTTTTTTCAATTTTGGCAAAAAAAGAAATTCCTTGAAACTTACAGGAAAGATGCTTAAAGTAACCCTGAACACATTCCAATTCGATTAGGGAAAAGATGTGCCTTGGAAAAGAAAATTTGGCCGAAATTTGGGGTAAAAACAGTCAAAATTTGCCTTTTTATTTACATGTATTTCCTACCACGAAAATGGATGATATTTGCCTAAATCTACCAAAGTTTGGGTGTTTGAATATTGATTCATGCTCCACTCGTCTCCAGAGGTATTTCTGCGTTGTTTGGAGAAAAGTCCATTTTTGGCCAAATTTGGTTACACATGTAAGGCTAACCCCTTGTATTTTTTTCAATTTTGGCCAAAAATGAAATTCCTTGAAACTTGCAGGAAAGATGCTTAAGGTAACCCTGAACACATTCCAATTCGATTTGGGAACAGATGTGCCTTTGAAAAGAAAATTTGACCGAAATTTGGGGTAAAAACAGTCAAAATTTGGCTTTTTATTTACAAGTATTTCCTACCCCAAAATGGATGATATTTGCCTAAATCTGCCAAAATTTGGGTGTTTGAATATTGGTTCATGCTCCACTCGTCTCCAGAGGTATTTCTGCGTTGTTTGGAGAAAAGTCCATTTTTGGCCAAATTTGGTTAAAAATGTAAGGCTAACCCCTTGTATTTTTTTCAATTTTCGCCAAGGCTAACCCCTTGTATTTTTTTCAATTTTGGCCAAGAACTGAAATTCCTTGAAACTTGCAGGAAAGATGCTTAAGGTAACCCCGAACACATTCCAATTCGATTTGGGAACAGATGTGCCTTTGAAAAGAAAATTTAGCCGAAATTTGGGGTAAAAACAGTCAAAATTTGCCTTTTTATTTACATGTATTTCCTACCACAAAAATGGATGATATTTGCCTAAATCTACCAAAGTTTGGGTGTTTGAATATTGGTTCATGCTCCACTCGTCTCCAGAGGTATTTCTGCGTTGTTTGGAGAAAAGTCCATTTTTGGCCAAATTTGGTTAAAAATGTAAGGCTAACCCCTTGTATTTTTTTCAATTTTCGCCAAGGCTAACCCCTTGTATTTTTTTTCAATTTTGGCCAAGAACTGAAATTCCTTGAAACTTGCAGGAAAGATGCTTAAGGTAACCCGAACACATTCCAATTCGATTTGGGAACAGATGTGCCTTTGAAAAGAAAATTTAGCCGAAATTTGGGGTAAAAACAGTCAAAATTTGCCTGTTTATTTACATATATTTCCTACCCCAAAAATGGATGATATTTGCCTAAATCTACCAAAGTTTAGGTGTTTGAATATTGATTCATGCTCCACTCGTCTCCAGAGGTGTTTTTGCGTTGTTTGGAGAAAAGTCAATTTTTGGCCAAATTTGGTTAAAAATGTAAGGCTAACCCCTTGTATTTTTTTCAATTTTGGCCAAAAAATGAAATTCCTTGAAACTTGCAGGAAAGATGCTTAAGGTAACCTTGAACACATTCCAATGCGATTTGGGAACAGATGTGCCTTTGAAAAGCAAATTGGACCGAAATTTGGGGTAAAAACAGTCAAAATTAGCCTGTTTATTTACATGTATTTCCTACCACAAAAATGGATGATATTTGCCTAAATCTACCAAAGTTTGGGTGTTTGAATATTGATTCATGCTCCACTCGTTTCCAGAGGTATTTTTGCGTTGTTTGGAGAAAAGTCCATTTTCGGCCAAATTTGGTTAAAAATGTAAGGCTAACCCCTTACCCTGAACACATTCCAATTCGATTGGGGAACAGATGTGCCTTTTAAAACAAAATTTGGCCGAAATTTGGGGTAAAAACAGTCAAAATTTGCCTTTGTATTAACCCGTTGTATTTTTTTCAATTTTGGCCAAAAAATGAAATTTCTTGAAACTTGCAGGAAAGATGCTTAAGGTAACCCTGAACACATTCCAATGCGATTTGGGAACAGATGTGCCTTTGAAAAGCAAATTGGACCGAAATTTGGGGTAAAAACAGTCCAAATTTGCCTTTTTATTTACATGTATTTCCTCCCACGAAAATGGATGATATCTGCCTAAATCTACCAAAGTTTGGGTGTTTGAATATTGGTTCATGCTCCACTTGTCTCCAGAGGTATTTCTGCGTTGTTTGGAGAAAAGTCTATTTTTGGCCAAATTTGGTTAAAAATGTAAGGCTAACTCCTTGTATTTTTTTCAATTTTGGCCAAGGCTAACCCCTTGTGTTTTTTTTCAATTTTGGCCAAAAAATGAAATTCCTTGAAACTTGCAGGAAAGATGCTCAAGGTCACCCTGAACACATTCCAATCCGATTTGGGAACAGATGTGCCTTTGAAAAGAAAATTTGGCCGAAATTTGGGGTAAAAACAGTCAAAATTTGCCTTTGTATTTACATGTATTTCCTACCGCAAAAATGGATGATATTTGCCTAAATCTACCAAAGTTTGGGTGTTTGAATATTGATTGATGCTCCACTCGTCTCCAGAGGTATTTCTGCGTTGTTTGGAGAAAAGTCCATTTTTGGTCAAATTTGGTTAAAAATGTAAGGCTAACCCCTTGTATTTTTTTTCAATTTTGGACAAAAAATGAAATTCCTTGAAACTTGCAGGAAAGATGCTTAAGGTAACCCTGAACACATTCCAATTCGATTAGGGAACAGATGTGCCTTTGAAAAGAAAATTTGACCTAAATTTGGGGTAAAAACAGTCAAAATTTGATTTTTATTTACATGTATTTCCTTCCCAAAAATGGATGATTTTTGCCTAAATCTGCCAAAATTTGGGTGTTTGAATATTGATTCATGCTCCACTCGTCTCCAGAGATATTTCTGCGTTGTTTGGAGAAAAGTCCATTTTTGGCCGAATTTGGTTAAAAATGTAAGGCTAACCCCTTGTATTTTTTTTTAATTTTGGACAAAAAATGAAATTCCTTGAAACTTGCAGGAAAGATGCTTAAGGTAACACTGAACACATTCCAATTCGATTTGGGAACAGATGTGCCTTGGAAAAGAAAATTTGGCCGAAATTTGGGGTAAAAACAGTCAAAATTTGATTTTTATTTACATGTATTTCCTACCACAAAAATTGATGATATTTGCCTAGAACTACCAATGTTTGGGTGTTTGAATATTGGTTCATGCTCCACTCGTCTCGAGAGGTATTTATAGACTATCACGTGTCCTCTAAACACCTTGACACGAGATGGAGATAAACCTTGACAATCACTGAAGCATAAAACCTACTCAAACAGCAGCCTATATAATGGTCAATCCAGGGAGGCCCTTCAACCAGGTTGCATCAAGACCATCACGCTAAGAAGCTATATCCATCTCGAACACCGCTGCCAACCAGCATTCCAGCAGTCTTTATGTTCTTAATCTAGCTTCAGCAGGTGCATCATCTACGGCCCACCAGTCTGACTGATTGGGCTGCGAAGACAGACCTGGACTACTAACAGGACTTCAAATAAGAAGTCTGCAATATCCAATCAAAAATTTAGTCCAAGACCCATAAACTACAAGTCCTATCAATTTGCAGACCTATCAGGCTTTGAAACCCTTCAGTTTCCCCTCAACTATCAGCCAGCTAGAGTCCAAAACCCTACTCTCCAAAAGCCTACCCTCCAGCTCCCAACCCCTTAATTCAGTTCCCAACTTCTCCACCTCCCAGCCTCAGACCCTCAGATCAAATACATTTGTCAGGGGTCCCTTGCAATCTGAAAATCTGGCCAGAGCTGAATAATTTTGAAGTATAAACAACCTAAGGGTTTTAATTATCAAAACCGGAGAGTTTTTCAAGAAAGTACCATAGCTATGCAAGAGATACGGGGTTCAACTACACCCTATGCTACTATTTTATTTATTTTTTAAAAATTTACCACTGCAGTGAGGAAAAATTCTCCCGGCTCCCCGGCTGGGATTGAACCAGGGACCAAGCGGCCTGGTGGTCAGCGAGCTAGACCACCAGGCCACATTGCTTCCTCGAAAAATTTGATCTCGGAACTAATAATTAAAGGTTACATTGCGAAATATCAAAAAAAGAAGAATATAACCCTTACCCTCATTTGAATAATAAAACCAGAAAAATGAATATTCAGAACACCACCACTGATCAAAAATTCTGGTTCTCAAATTTAAACATTTATTCAATATGCTTTCTTTTGTTAAAGTTGTACACTATTTACAAACCTATTTTAGGCCAACAACAAATAAAATAATCGGTCTCTGGTCAGACCGAAGTTCCGGAATTGATGCGACGACGCGTTTTTTTTTTTGGTGGCTTTTTTTCCCCAAGCTTGAATTGTACAGACAAGGTGGGTACTATTTTGCTTTTTTTGTGTCCTCATTATATACATTGGTGTCCTCCATAATTTGCCTTGGTACCCTTGACCATTTGCCTTGGTGCAATTTCCCCATTCCTTGGTGCTCCTTGGTACAAAAATTTGAGGAGGTGCGGCAATAGAGGGCGCTGTTGTAGCTTCCGTTGTATTTGAAGAAGAAAAAAAGGTTGGCACGCATGATTAAAATCGACGCGCGCCTTGACCAGAGACCGAGTATTTTTTTTTTTTTTGGGCCTTGCAATATTTCTTTTTAAAGTAAACTTTAAGTTGTTTTAAAACTATTTTAACAATAACCACAATTCGTTTTAATGTAATAAATTTAGAAATTAATTTGCTTCGTTTTATAAGAATCTAGATTAGTCAATTTAATGCATAGGATTTTAATGGCAAGCCCGACATACAAAATTTGCAGGGTTTTTTTTTCAGTGGGGTTGGGGACAAAATTGGCCATAAAAATAAAAAGGGCAAATATTTGTTTGAATATGAAAATGAGAGTTACTTTTTGCAATCTGGCTTTTACCTCAGTTTAGGTCAAACCTTTTCAGTGATTTTTGCCTAGCATGTAATACATATTTACCCTTCAAAGTCACTTCACAACAAAGAAAAACCTACCAATTCCAATACAGAGTGACATCTTATATTAGGAATAATTTCTAGTACAACTGAAGTTTAACAGTGTCACACCAATTTCAAATACACAGGCATTCTACAATTTTACTTGTGCCATCTGGCTTGATTCTATGCAATCAAATTTCAAATTGTTTCAAAAAAAAAAATACTTACAGATCTTGTTCCACTATTGATTCTTCCACCAGGACTTAAATCAGAATTTAGTTTCACAAAATGCACCTTACAAAAAGACAAGCCTTCAGAATGATATATTCTGATTATTTATTGATGTTTAACTTTCTTGTTTGATGACTAGGACAAATTTGGTTTCATGATTGCATTTCCGTTATGTAAACCATATCCGAAACACTCTTACCATATGCATTATGTTTAAATTACTTGCTATTGTGGACCATGCATTATTCATTAATGAAACAGTCAGTTTGTGAGCAATAGATGGCGCTCTTCATTCAGTCTCATTTTGTTTTTACCAAAATAGAAGCTACCAACAAAATACTTTCTGGATTTCATGCAATTTTTAGGAGCAAGGTTTAAATAAGGGAATAAACGTGTGCTTGGAAGGTGTTAAACACTGTGTTTAAGACTGCTTGGAGTCGGGATGCTCATAATTACCCCAATGTAATTATCAGCCTCAAGACTCCAACCGGTCTTATAAAACACGTTTAATACAAACCAAGCACATATTTATTCCAATTCATATAATCATGTTTCTCTTTGGTCATAATATCATAAGTTTTTGGTTCAGAAGTAAAAAAAAAAAGAAATGCAAGTCAGATGCAAACAATTCATATGATGGAGATTTATATAATTTCGCACAGATGCAGCTGTGGCAAGTGCATTGTGAATTTAAGGACTATGAAATACTGACTCACATATGTAGTATTGCGCATGAGTACGTGAAGATTATGAATGTTCAACCAATAAAATGGTTAAAGCGCTGGATTTCATAGGAGTCAAAATTTCACGTGACACTGGAAAAGTGTTTGAAGACCAGCTAGCCATGTCTTAATCATCCGTTCAAGGACAGCCACGTGACAGGCTCTCGACCAATGGGAATGGGTAAACTGTCTTAGGTACTTATGAATATTCATTAAAATGCACAATCACAACCAACATCACTTAACATTCATTACCAAATAATAAATACATAAACAAACAGAAATACAATAGGGCCCAGTAACTAATTTGGCAACCAGAAAATCTACAGTTCTACGAAGTATATGGGCAATTCCATGATGACTGACATTAGTTAGAGAGCTTCATGCGTAAAAATATAATAGCCATGTTCACAAAGACGCCCTCAAAACATTAACATAACTGAGAGAAAAATAGAACTGAATAGATACCAAAAGACTAATTCAAAAGTCCTTACTATAAGTCATCAAGTTTTAAAACGCCAATTTATGTTGTGTCACTTCAGCAAATAAACTTCAACAGATCCTTAATTTATTTTCGGTTTTGTGTCTCTAACAGCATAGAACTGCCCATATAATTTTCATCCCTTAACAGACTTCGTGTAGTGCATTCTAAATAGACTAAAGACACATTGGATCTAGTTTCTCTGATGTTGATGTCATCACAAAGTGGTGCAGTTTCAGGGCATTCCAGCATCAAGTGCAATGTCTCCTTGGTAAGAGCAAGAAAACCTGAAATAACAAAATGATAAATAAATAAAAAGACAAATACCGTTCATAAAAAATAAAAAATAAAATGCAACGTTGCCAAGTCCCCGGTAGCAAATTTAAATTCCATCATGACACTCTTCTTTTGAGTATCTCTCCGGAGCTTTCACTGCTTTAGTGAAAGTGTCTTCAAACTGGCTGCAGACAAGCTGTACCTCTCAAATGAGTATCTCTGAATTAAAGGCATTCTCCTGGTCATGAGAATACTTAGACCTCAGAGAGTTAATGATACAATGGGAAGGGTTTGACCTCAGTGCTATCCAACTGCAAGGCAAAACAATGGCAGGCTAGTCAAAACAATTTTCTAGTAGCTAGCCTGGGGTGTCAAATTACTGAGATAAGGTATTAAGCTTTTCCATGTGGCTGCAGATTTACGAATTTTTTTCAAAGAGGCCTGAGAACAAAAATAATCTAATACTTACAAGTATGCGCACTCAGCTTTTTTTCATGCAGAATATTGCGCCAAATTTGCTACTAGCCCGGCTGGTTAGGGGAAGAAAAAAAGTTAAGGATGAATACTGATAGTATGTGCATAATAGGGCCAGTATGGATCATAATAGGGCCAGTATGGATACTCTGAAAGCTCAGTTACTAAATCTTTACTTCAGCAACATTAGTTTCCATCATGCTTCACATCACCTACCGATATAGCTAGGCTGTCAGCAACCAGGACCTCTACCGCCTCATTGAATTGGACAGCAGCTCTCTCCTCTGGCTACCGACCCCCTCAACAGCCACCTGCTCTCGCATCCCTCCCAGGCAGATGCCAGATGGGATGGGAGAAGGTACTCTACCATAAGCATAGTTGATCCTAATGCCCATCCTAGGTCCCCAGATATGAGAAGTGCCATGGATGACCAGGACAACTGATGTAGAATGTTGGCCATCACAAGCAACTTCTATGGATGCCACAGATAAACAACAGGAGACAATTAACAGAAACATGCCCATAACCAAAACAAGATGAAGGGGATTATTTGAATAAATGATAGAATTTGAAAGATAAAAGCGTTGTTTGCATTTGCCTTGGAAACTTAGCTTTGTTTTGTACAGCAAAGTTGTAACGCGTGTCTACGATCAACCCATAATTCACATATTAAAGATTGTTACAAAAACAAGTATTTACCATAAGTATATTGAACAAGTTTTTAGTTTACCTGCAACACGTGTTCCTCTTCTTGTGGTTCTGATAAAAGGCTTTCAATGAATTTCAAGAGGGAAAAAGTAACTCCGGTCCTGTCCTGTTAAAGAATGAGACAATAATGCAACATAGATTAGTTTTGGTAGCTAAAAATACTTGCGAGGCTACGTAAAATATTTAGTTTAAAACTAAAATCATGGGGGTCTCAAGACTCGACGAAATCCTGAACCAAACTGTCAGAGTCACACTTGGCCAGCACAAAACAATAACTGATATCATAAGGGAAAGACGATCACAAGAATGGGGAAGGACATCCAGGAATTGCATATGAGGGGAGAACCCATGCATGCCATGGGACACAATCACGAGGAAGACATCAAAGAAATGGCTAGACTGCCTCAAAACTGACTGCAGAGCGAGAGACATCTCACTGTCAGAAGCTTTCCGCTGGCATCCCACAGAAGTGTTTGGCAGGACATCACGAGGCAGAATTAGCCACCACACAGCCTGCTGGTGTGGAAGGCTGAGATCAAGGTCAATGGATGACTTCAAAAGGCAAGGGGAACAATAACCAAACAAGACTTCATACATACATGAAGCATTTCATACAAAGTTCATACCTGGGTGGTTGACAAACCTGCTCTTGCAATTAAGGCTTCTCCAGGAAAACATGTTGACCAGGATAAAATTAGCAGGGCAAGTACATCGATGTAGTTCTGGAAACTGTATTTTCCTGACGTATTTTGCAGGATATCTTTCGATACACCAACCACACAAACCAACAGACGAGTAATTACTGCAAATCTGAATCATACTCCTTTATATTTATACAAAATGAAGTAAATGTTTAGAGACTGGCAAAAGTTTTCCATCAAAATAACATACTTTCAAATTGCAACAAAGTCTTTAAAAACCTAGCATTTGCCTCATGTTTTTCCATACCCACATCAATGCTTACAAATTGGTATTGTTACGAACCCAGAATGCTTGATTATGGAAATCTAGCGCCCTCTGGATTCACTCTGTCCATGAAGTACACAATCTTCTTGTTGTCTTTTATAGTTCCTGTATTTTACCCATTTATCGTAAATTGCCAACTTGCACTTTTATTCCTAGGGTCTCTTACCAAGACCAGCGCATGATGCAATACCACGCGCGCTACTGTATGCATTATTCATGTCGCGATGTACATGTGCGCGACTGACCACACCTCCCTTTGCCCCAGCGAGCTAAGTTCCTTTCCCCATAGCATGCGTGCTTTGGCGTTCTCCGAGAGACTGCTCAGCGGCACGGAGCATTTCTCTCCCCCGTGTGTTACCCATGAACACTAACTGGAGTTCTCGGTCCAGTTTTCCAGTCCCGTACTTAGCTCGAGGGAATGGAACGTTACCTTGCGTGGTCGCGTAGCTGGGCGTGGTAAGACATCCTGCGGTGTCAATAACCTGTGACACAGTAACTTTTTAGCTTGTCACTCACTCCATCAAGGTTGCTCGAGATGTTGCGTAAACACTTTTGCACTCTGATCTAACTATTTGCACACATCTATCTCTGTATTTGCACACTTCTCTCTCCATGTTTTTCCTTATGTAAATGCACACGTTTCTAGTCTCTTGCACTAGGCACTCTTAGTAAGTCATGTGACCCTTAGACATGGAAGATTACTATTGGTTAATTCCTAATCAGTGCTCATGCATTATTTAATCCCGAGACTTCTACTGCCTATAAATACCGGAGGTTTTCCTCACTTTCGGCAGTGCGGCGAACCACGAAACCAATGTAGTGCGAACGAACCCTAAACCCAAAGTTGTGCGGCGAACTTATATGTTGTGCGGTAAATCGTATGATGTGCGACGAAGTCGACTCTGACAGACCGATTGTTGTGCGACTCTTGTCACTACGAAGCATCGGCCTCCCTTGGTGGTTGAGGCGCGGTGAAGTAATAGTGCAATCACTAGTACTAGTGTTATTATGAAGCATCCTTCTCCTAGATCCCTCGAGGAGTGTGTAGAAGCTGGTGAAATAGTAATACACTAGTCCCAATGGTGCTGTGCGGTTTCGAATGGCCATTGGACTGCTAGTCTTAGCTTGAACATGTTGTGCGGTTGTCTGGTGTTCTAGCCCAGCCAGAGCTAGTTCATCCCCGTCACCACAGCGGACCGCTCCCGCTGTGGCCAGCCGGCTCCCCGTAGCCATTCCCCCGTAGTTCAGCTATGCTAGCCCGGTCTTGTCATAAACACTATCTTTGGTGCATAGTGCCTCGATTGACCTTGGATACCCGATACGCCACATGCACACTTTGGTTCGAACTGTAGTGCGGCCTGGTACACTTGCTGGCCCCGTCCAGTTACCGTTGCCTCTCGGTCACCGTAGCGGACCGCTCCCGCTTCGGTCTGGCCGTCGATAACCCGTACCGTGCCGGTGCCCACTCAGTTCGTATTGGTTGACATGGTTTTGCCATTGTACATAGTACATGTATAGACTTTGTAGACGCCAACCTGTTATCTCTATAACGCTACCAAAGACTACCAAAATGAGAAACCCTATAGGTTGATGAAATCTAACAAAGTTATGTAAAGTGAAGAGATGAATAAATCAGTGTATTGACATGTGTGACTGTCACCCCAAAGTTCTGTTTCCCTCCAACTTATTGAATTATTGTTGACTCTAATAAATGTTTCATGAACTGCTATTAGGGAACGCAACAGTATTAATGGTTCTTTTTATATGTATAACAAGAACAAGAACATATATCATTGCCTGTCAAATGTATTACAGTCATTAATAATTTGTGGATTATGTATACTCTGCATTACGCCAGTACAAACCGCGTGTGTTCCGAAGTTGTGGAGTTACAATGGATGGAACTGTGGTAGACATGACAGTGCCCCTTGGAGCTTATCAGGTCATGAGTAAGCTGGATGTCGGGACATTTGTGAGGATCTTATCTGCTGGGATGTACATAAATGCAAAGGGATGACAGTCATCAAGCTATCACAAAAGAGCAAGGTAAGGATAGTTTAAAAGAAGAGTATTAATGTATTTTGAAAAACAAATGTTTGCTAATTGTATAGAGAGATTTATTATTTTGTAAAAGAATGTTTGATGTTTTATGGTTGTCAGAGGTACCTTTTTGTCCCCCACCATACACCTGTGTTTCAGGTCATTCGCACCATATGCACAACGCTAGTCAAGACGGGAAACTGGCCAAAACTCCATAGTGCGTGATGCACCGTGTGCATGTGTGCCTGACAGACCTCATTTTTCAAAACGAAAACCACTCCAAGTACTTGTAACACAAAATATACCTCTAGTTTAATTGTAAATGTCAACCAATTTTTTTATCCACCAATTCATGTCTCTATAAAACAGATGCATTCAAAATTTCATCAGATGGCAATGCTCAACATTTGGCGCTGCTCATCATTCTAAGTCACAATGGGACACGGTAACCCTTTGCGTTGCCGGTAACCCCTTGCGATGCCGGTAAACCCTTGCGATGTGGTTGAGTGGCAGTGCAGGTGTCCAAACTGTCAATCAAGTTGTACCCAAAGCTGTCACTGACTGATAACTCCGTGTCGGCAATTCATACATCAAATGCGGCCGACTCTATGCATTTAGGACCCTCAAGAAATTTGTTGTCATATGAGCCAGCTAGACAACTTTCGATCTTCAAATTTCCGAACTCCAAGCAAATTTTCTAACAACCAAGCATCATGCCTGTGGCAACTCGTAAGGTGAGGGCTGCCAGGCCAGAGCCCCAGTTTCCATGTATAACATGCGGAGAGGAAGTCCGCGCCAAGCAGCAGGCCATCCTGTGTGACGGATGCGATCGTTGGCAACATCGTCGTTGCTGCCCAGGTTGGTCTTTAATGTTAAGTACAAATTCATTGATTTAATTACGATATATACATGTATTTCCACTATCAGTTCACAAAACTACAAAGCTTGTTCCCTCTTTTAGAAAATAATTACAATAATACCTTTATGTGAAGTACCCAAGAGTTTTGGTATAAAAAGATTGAATCTCCGTTATGAGGCAAGTAAATTTGACATTTTCAGTCCCCTAAGCTTTAATACAAGTGCATGTAGTATTAAAGCTTAGCGGACTGAAAATGTCAAATTTACATGCCTCATAATAGAAAGTCTCTATACCAAACTCTTGGGTATCTCACATAGAGTAGAAAAATGAACGGGAAATTTAAAGGCATTTACATGTACATGTATATGACGTCCAACGACTATCATTAGGGCATTCCATGGATCTCTTTTGTCAGCATTTTCTTTTAAAGAGTGTTCATCATGTAATGAGAATTCTATCAAATGTTCTATCGTTTGGAAGGTAAACCGTTAAGAAAATTCAAGGTTTTTTATAAGGTTGAACTTTGTATTATACATGTACGTACATGTACTCTGGTATCCATTGTCATCCAAAACCTTCTCATTTTACTTATTGCTGAGTCCTTTGCTGCCAGATTTTTGTATGTATTTATTATTCATCTTACTGTACCCCCAGTAGGCCTACCTTCTCAGAACTGATTTCGCCAGCTATTAACGTATCCTGCTCCTTGCATAAAATATTTATTAACATTTGGGCAAGAATATTTCATATTTTGGGGGCAACACAATCAAGCACAGTTTTGGCTAATGATGTTTAACATTTTTTCTTAATTTTCATTTACAGGGCTAACTCAACAAGAATATCGAGAATTGATGGTTGAGTCTAGTCGCAGGCGTTGGTATTGCCATGTCTGCCACGAGCTGTTCCAAGACAATGCAGAGCTTGCAACAACTGTGAGTATAATTAATTCAGAGGTTTTTTATTTTGCTTTTTATTGCGAGCCTGATAAGTTAGGACCAGAGGGAAAAAGTGTGAACTGAAGTTTATGAAACCCCAAACAATGTATTATTTTCCAAACTAAAAGTTAAACGGTGACAATGAAGAAGCTGAATTTTATTTGTATCCTTTTACTGTGCTGTGTTATATCTACATCTTAGCTAGACAGTGTCCCACTTAAAGTTGTGGGTGGGTTTGAGCACCCAAGTTGTGGCTCGTTGGTCTGAGTGCCCAAGTTGTTCTGGGTTTTTTTTAGACTTAATTGCTTGTTCATTAATGTTCTCATTTTAGTTTTGTTTGATTCCGTGTCTGTTTACATGGATATATTATAATCTGTTTTCTTTTCAGCATGCCCAGACAGATGAGCCGGGAATGCCAATGAACATCGACGAGAAGGAGCCAAGAATAGAAGTCTGGGAGAGACAGGGCGCACCTCTACCACATGTCCAGGAACCTGAGCTTCTGGATCTGCTGCTTGAGGGCAATGGTAAGTTCTAAGAAGTTTGAGCACCCAAGTTGTGGGTTGTTGGTCTGAGTGCCCAAGTTGTTCTGTTTTTTTTAAGACTTAATTGCTTGTTCATTAATGGTCTCATTTTAGTTTTGTTTGATTCCGTGTCTGTTTACATGGATATATTATAATCTGTTTTCTTTTCAGCATGCCCAGACAGATGAGCCGGGAATGCCAATGAACATCGACGAGAAGGAGCCAAGAATAGAAGTCTGGGAGAGACAGGGGGCACCTCTACCACATGTCCAGGAACCTGAGCTGCTGGATCTGCTGCTTGAGGGCAATGGTAAGTTCTAAGAATTCTCGCAAAATGTGCGATTTTAAAAGTAACCAGTATCTGTCACTTAGAGCTCTTGAAAATCGTGTTGATACCATGTGATGAGATATATTTTTGTTTCGAGTAGTATGCACACTTTGAGTTATAATCAAATCACCAGTGTTGGAGGTCTCGAGGCCGGCCTCGGCCTCGAGGCCGATTTTTGAGGCCTTGGCCTCGGCCTTGGCCTTGGGACGTTGATGCCTCGGCCTCGGCCTTGGCCTCGGGGCTTTCCGTCCTCGTGAAACTGGTCGAGGCCGGCTCGAGGCCGCCCAATTTCCACCAATTCAAATGCGTTTTCGGTTTCAAATTATTTTATATTTTATTACCATATTAAAACTTGGACATGGACTGGATGCTGTTACGTTTTGGCAGGACAGTGGTGAAGGAAAAAATAAGTACCCATCACTGCATGCTCTTGCCAAGAACATTCTGTGTGTGCCAGCCAGCAGTGCTCCAGTAGAGCGCATTTTTAGCAGAGGGGAGCTAATAATGAGACCCCATCAGGCAAGGCTAACCCCACAGATGCTGGAGACCCTAATGTTCCTAAAATGCAATGACCATGTACTTTGAGGACTGTAAGATGCTTCATGATAAGCCAGTAAGCCAAAACAGCCAGATTTCACTCTTGCTTTCTTGTATAGTAAAATCATTTTAACCATCACCTTCGTGTAAAGTTGTGTGTGTAAAGTTACGTGTGTGTGTACATAATGTAACCGGCCTCGGCCTCGGACACTGTGGCCTTGGCCTTGAAGGCTGTGACTCGGCCTTGGCCTCGGCCTCGAAGACCCATGACTCGGACTCGGCCTTGGCCTCGGAGGTTGTGGCCTCGACTACAACACTGCAAATCACGCAACCCAAGGTTTATGTCAAATTGTACGTACAGCCGACGATCGAGTTGGAAAACGTTCGAGTTGGCAAATGGTCCAGTTAAGATCAAACAATTTGTTTGATCTTAAGTGTAAAGGGTTACACCACCCGTTTTCACAAAACTCAAAACTTTTTGGACAATTTAGCTAAAATGGGCATGCCTGACAGTTTTCATTGGGCTCCATTACCTGCCATTCAAATTTGTTAATCTTTAGTTCATTTGGAAAGATAACATGTCGGAGCGGGTTCAAGTACAGTTAACTCTGGCTTAGTTGGTTGCAAATGCACTAAAGAGAATTTCCCTCAGACCGCCAATTCACTTCAATGGTTCACTTTTAGTGACAAGGTGGTGTCATCATCATGCCAAATTTTAAATGTTAGTACCACACACTTCATTATTATCATTATTTATTTCGCATAAAAGAAAAAAACAGAAATACAAAAGACAAAACTAAAGCCAGAGGCATATGCATGGAGTTGAATTTCCAACTTAACAGCTGAAGTCTTCTGTATTATCGTTACCTATAAATGTACACTAAAAAAAGGATAAGTGAGTAGCTCGCTGTCAACGTATATGAACAAAAAATCACGTAAATATTTTCCGTAGTCTCAATTATAGCATAGGGTCTTAGAAATAGAGTATGTAAAACCAGTGTTCAATCAAACAAAAGCTTTTACGACTTTCTAATTGCTGCCAAAATAGTAACCAAACTTCATCCAAATGGTTTCCTGTCAGACACTGGGTGAAAGGTTGCGTACAAATAACTGCGTGTTTATTAGCCAACACAAAATAAATGTAACAATATTTTTTTTCAGAGTATCCCTAATCTGAAGGTAACATCAGAGTATATTACCCCTTGTGCTGAAAGATTAGATGTGGAGCAACTGAAACAAGATTTGCCGCGTGGCTACGAGGGGCGATTCACCGATGCAGCCAGAGACTGGTGAATATCCTACTTCAAGGACTTTGACAGAGTGATGGAGGTAATGCCACAAGTTCGGCCTCATACATGTAGGTTTGATACTTTATGAAACAAGAATTTGAAACAAGATTTACCGCGTGGCTACGAGGGGCACTTCACCGATGCAGCCAGAGACAGGTGAATATCCTACTTCAAGGACTTTGACAGAGTGATGGAGGTAATGCCACAAGTTCGGCCTCATACATGTATGTTTGATACTTTATGAAACAAGAATTTGAAACAAGATTTGCCGCTTGGCTATGAGGGGCGCTTCACCGATGCAGCCAGAGACAGGTGAATATCCTACTTCCAGGACTTTGACAAAGTGATGGAGGTAATGCCACAAGTTCGGCCTCATACATGTAGGTTTGATACTTTATGAAACAAGAATTGAAACAAGATTTGCCGCTTGGCTACGAGGGGCGCTTCACCGATGCAGCCAGAGACAGGTGAATATCCTACTTCCAGGACTTTGACAGAGTGATGGAGGTAATGCCACAAGTTCGGCCTCATACATGTAGGTTTGATACTTTATGAAACAAGAATTTGAAACAAGATTTGCCGCTTGGCTACGAGGGGCGCTTCACCGATGCAGCCAGAGACAGGTGAATATCCTACTTCCAGGACTTTGACAAAACGACGGAGGTAATGCCACAAGTTCGGCCTCATACATGTAGGTTTGACACTTTATGAAACAAGAATTTGAAACAAGATTTGCCGTGTGGCTACGAGGGGCGCTTCACCGATGCAGCCAGAGACTGGTGGACATCTTACTTCAAGGACTTTGACAGAGTGAGGGAGGTAATGCCACAAGTTCGGCCTCATACATGTAGGTTTGATACTTTATGAAACAAGAATTTGAAACAAGATTTGCCGTGTGGCTACGAGGGGCGCTTCACCGATGCAGCCAGAGACTGGTGGACATCTTACTTCAAGGACTTTGACAGAGTGAGGGAGGTAATGCCACAAGTTCGGCCTCATACATGTAGGTTTGATACTTTATGAAACAAGAATTTGAAACAAGATTTGCCGTGTGGCTACGAGGGGCGCTTCACCGATGCAGCCAGAGACTGGTGGACATCTTACTTCAAGGACTTTGACAGAGTGAGGGAGGTAATGCCAGAAGTTCAGCCTCATACATGTAGGTTTGATACTTTATGAAACAAGAATTTGAAACAAGATTTGCCGCGTGGCTACGAGGGGCGCTTCACAGATGCAGCCAGAGACAGGTGAATATCCTACTTCCAGGACTTTGACAAAACGACGGAGGTAATGCCACAAGTTCGGCCTCATACATGTAGGTTTGATACTTTATGAAACAAGAATTTGAAACAAGATTTGCCGCTTGGCTACGAGGGGCGATTCACAGATGCAGCCAGAGACAGGTGAATATCCTACTTCCAGGACTTTGACAAAGTGATGGAGGTAATACCACAAGTTCGGCCTCATACATGTAGGTTTGATACTTTATGAAACAAGAATTTGAAACAAGATTTGCCGCGTGGCTACGAGGGGCGATTCACTATGCAGCCAGAGACTGGTGGACATCTTACTTCAAGGACTTTGACAGAGTGATGGAGGTAATGCCACAAGTTCGGCCTCATACATGTAGGTTTGATACTTTATGAAACAAGAATTTTAAACAAGATTTGCCGCGTGGCTACGAGGGGCGCTTCACCGATGCAGCCAGAGACTGGTGAATATCCTACTTCCAGGACTTTGACAAAGTGATTGAGGTAATGCCACAAGTTCGGCCTCATACATGTAGGTTTGATACTTTATGAAACAAGAATTTGAAACAAGATTTGCCGCGTGGCTACGAGGGGCGCTTCACCGATGCAGCCAGAGACTGGTGAATATCCTACTTCCAGGACTTTGACAAAGTGATTGAGGTAATGCCACAAGTTCGGCCTCATACATGTATGTTTGATACTTTATGACATATATTCTCATTGTTTTTTTTTTCTTCATACAAGTGTAGCATACACTTGGAGCATAAATTTCCTTTACCAATCGTGCCTTTTTCTGTAAGGCACTTAACTTGGTAAGCAGATTCATTTGGTGGTTTTAACTGTCACAATAAACTGTAAACCTTATTAATATTTAGGGCTTTTTATTTCAGGTACCAGAACAGGAAGAATCCTGGCTGCTGGAACAGCTTGTGGCGTTAAATCCAGGCCCTCTGGTAGCGCAGAAACCCAGGCTCTACCAGGCAGACTGCAGGTACTGAGCGACAGACTCAGTAAAGACTGCCCTCCAGTAATTTTTTGCTCAAATCAAATTATTGTCCAATGAGGGTTACATATTTGAAAGTGTCAAACACGTTGTACATATACATGGTTCCTCACGGGCTAAAAATTCAATAGAACAGTAGACGAAAGAGGAAGTTTTCAGAAATATATCTACCCCATAAGGGAGCAGGGGCGGATTCAGAATTTTTTTTTTGGAGGGAGGGGACTTCAACTGGAACAAATGAGAACAAATGAAGGGAAAGGAAGGTCTTCCAACAACAAGGCTGTGGAAATACCGGTACTGTTTTAGAAGGTTTTAATTCTGACTGTTTCGTTGAATATCACAATTTACAATAAACACAGTACATCACTGGTTGTGGTGTTGTTATGACCATGGGACCATGGTGGAAGTTGTCGTAGTCATATAATGAAACAAGTTTGGAAACTGTGTTGCAATCTGCAGGAATGAGTGACATGACAATAGGGCTATATGTTTATGTACAGCCAGTCAAGCATGATAATCATAAACCATTGCTTTCTTTTGTTTTGTCCAAAGGTGTGTATATGTAGGTACTGGTACACAAGGATGGCCATAAGACCTCCTCCAGTGATGTTGGTTGATGACTTTGGTAGCCTTGAGGTGGGAATGCTGGTCGGATTGTATGTAGACTACCTTCCACAACGGCTGCAAATAGCAAAGGTTACGGAGATAGATCAGACTAATTTGACAATCAATGTACACTGGTTTAATTGTTCTTGGTCTGGCCCTTGTAAACCAAGATATACATGTACAGGGGCAGCTTCAAACCGACGCCCATGCACAGAGCTGTTGGACCTTCTGACGTTCATTCTTTGGGATTTCCAATTGACCGGAAAGAAAGGCTGTCTGAGTATGTTCTCTAAAAGAGAAGTACAGCGAGCTTGACAAAAAGAAGTGAATTTCGCACATGCAAGATTGAAGAGCTTATGTCCCAAACATGATGTACCCTACATTATGTTGTTTCCTATTATAATCCTTATTTTTCTGGCTGCTATTAAGTACAGTCCCTTGTAAGCAGATACTTCCAAAATTGTAAGGTTGATAGCAAATATTGTTCATATTAAA